AAATTAAGTTTGTTCTATGACCTTTACATATTTTTATCAAAGAGATTAAAAACTTTTATTGTTATAAGTATGTAGGAAAATGGCCAAAAAGAGTAAACCTAATATTTATTATGCTATAATTGAACATTAGAAATATTAATAATTAAAATGACCTATTTCATTGTAAATAAAAAACACCTTAGGACAGGTAGTTTAGGCAGTGCTTGCCTTCTCATTATATAACTTACAACGTGAAGTGAGTGCCTTTATTTATGCCTTGGCAAATTGCCATACTCCTTTCTTAGTTGGAATTGGCTTCCAATATTTTTTCTTTGCCTTTTCAATGTCATAAAATATCTATGTTTTTCTTTAATGTGAAATGTTGACAGCATCATTTCTTCCGGATCATCTCCCTCCTTTTCATCACAACCACTTTTCTTATTTTGTACAGTAAATTCTCCTTCACTACGTTTCTCTGGCTGCATATCTAGAGTTGAATGGTGGCACTGTCGACATTCCATGGTCACCTTTTTCTTCTATAACTTCATTTACATTTGATTCAAATTTCACCTCTACATTACCACTTTCTATTTCTCTGCTGAACTTTCATATTTGTTGGCCAATTTCTTCTCACGACCATCCATTTTTGTAACATACTGAACAGGTTTAGGAGACAAGGGGGCAACACAGCTACACACTTTGCTGTCTCTGTGGGAACTGAATAGCAGATGCTCAGTGACCAATCACACAAAGACACACTTTAAAAAAAAGTGACATAATTGGTCACAGATCTTGATAACCATCTGTTATTTACATAGTGATCTGTAGACTAAAAATCAATTAGTGGTAACTGAAATTAGAACTGTACTTGTTGGAGGACTGATACTATTTAACTAAACCATGGTAACTGAAATGTATGTATAGCAAAGCGATGCAAAGTGAGGATACTTCTACTTTCTTTTTGGTAGATGACAGATTCTTACATAGATTTTAATAATGCCACAAAGTTGGTCCTGGCCTTCACTCTGTTGGTCCTGAGTAAATACAACCAACCTTGTTATTAGGCTATCTCAGTATATAAGTTCTAAAATTTGAAGTAGTGTCACTTAGGAAAGAGTAGAGAGGACATGCTTCTAATTTTGTATTCTTCCTGGTAACACAAATTATTTCAAATATTTATCTATATCTCTTATTAGCAAATATAGATGAATAAATACCAATTTTCATTTATCACCTGCCCTGTTAGATTAGTCATCCCTGGGTAGTTTTAAGTATAAATTAACTAAGTATAGGAAAAACTAAAATTTAGATGGCTAATAGACATAGAAAAAGATACTCAGTATCACTAATCATCAGAAAAATACAAAATAAAACCACAATGAGATATCACCTCACACCTGTCAGAATAGCTATCATCACTAAATCAACAAACAACAAATGTTGGTGATGATGTGGAGAAAATAAAAGTAGCACTATCTTATGACCCAGTTAATCCACTTCTGGGTATTTATCTGAAAAAATCCAAAACACCAATTTGAAAAGATATACAATAGCCAAGATATGGAAGCAACCTACGTGCCCATCAATAGACAATTAGATAAAGATGTGGTACATATATACAATGAAATATTAATCAGCCATAAGAAGAATGAAATCTTACCATTTTTGATAGCATGGATGAACCTAGAGGGTATTATGCTAAGTGACATAAGTCAGTCAGAGAAATACAAATACCATATGATTTCACTTACATGTGAAATATAAAGAAGAAAATAAATGAGCAAACACAAAAGAAACAAACTCAATGAGGGGGTTGAGGGGCTGGATGAAAAGGTAAAAGGATTAAGAGGCACAAATGGGCAGTCACAAAATAGTCATGGGATATAAATACAGCATAGGGAATATAGTCAATAATATTGTAATAACTCTGTATAGTATCAGGTGGGTATTAGACTTATCAGGAGGACTACTCTGTAAATTATATAAATGTCTAACCACTTCACTGTACACATAAAACTAATATAATATTTGGTGTCAATTGTACCTGAAATTTTTAAAATATTTTTAATTAGAATTTACAAGATTAGCATATGATTTTCCAGCTCTCCATCCTTCATTCACAGAGCCTCTTGCTCATGTTGCTTTCAAACTATTATTTAGTTTCCATATTGCATTTAACAAGCTTCTCATAGTGTGACATCAAATACCTTTATAGATTAAGCTCCCTTTCAAAAATCTCCCTGGAAACTCTCTCCAGCTCTAATTAATTCTCCTAGTATTAAATTTTAAATACTTCTTTTGTGTCAAGATGCACCCACTTAGGTGCTACAACTTTTTTCCATCCTAAATAATTTTACTCCACTCCAGCCCTTGCTTGGTGACGGTGCCCTGGGCCTCAGCTGGTACATGCCTACTTCTCCCAATATTCCCTTCTCTGAATGTGTGCTTATTTTTAGGTCATTTGTAATGATTCTTGAGGGGAAAAAATGGAAACTTTAAAAACTACTTTTAAAAGGTCAGTAACACTAGTCCTGGGAGAAAAAAAAAAGAAAAGAAAGAAAAAACACCCTAGCACTCCAGGTTGTCATGGGGCTCCACAAAAGCAACATCCAACCAAATAAATCCAAAAACAATGAAAAAAGAGGGGGGGGCAACCTCTTGGGCCTAACTTTACCACACCACACAAAGGCTTCAGTAATTGAAAAAGTGTTCTTCAAATTTAACCAAAGTTCATTTGGTGAATTCTGGTATGACATGTGTTTATTTATGGGGAAGACAAAATAGTCTTGGTATGTGATGAGTACTAATTAGACTCATTCCTTGTCTTTCTTAATAAATTCCCTTACCTAATACAAGACATTTAATTTTCCTAGCAGAAGATAATACTCAAAACTTCTTTGATATCTCTTATTTTAAAATCAAAATCCATTTCCGTTAAGTATTTCTTAGAGAGGTAAGGTGAGTGTAGTACCTAAAGACTACCACACTGAGGCGTGTGGTGTATTGATTTGTGGCTGCCTTTCAGTTCACCACTACTTAAGTCCTTATAGGTAACAATAGTAGTCAAGAAATTAAACTTGTAAAGCCCAGATGGAAGTTAAATAGTAAGCATCTCCTTTTCTGTGTGTATGGGTGGTGTAAATTGATTGCTAAAAAGAGTCCTACACATTAGAAGGTTATCATATGTTAGAATGATAGGAAATTGAAAGTTACATGGTCATCTTTTTTCTAGAAACTCCACCTAAACCATAAGAGAAATGATCTATGTCCTATTACGGAAAGCATTCAAGCAAGGAGGTCTCTCAATCATCCTATTCAATACTGAATAGTCATCATAGTGTAATCATTCTCATTTTGACTGACCAGATGGAGAATGGCTACAATTCTTAGAGATTTACAAAAAAATCACAAATATGGCATATATAATGCATTGACACCTGTTTACTTGTCAGAGGAAAAACAAGTTTTGGCAACTGTTGGAAATTAAGTCCACTTCAGAACAGAATAGTAGAGAACAACTTCCTTACTTAATATATTATTTAGAAATGAAGAACTTTAAAATGAGGCCATATCAATGATCTCAAAATATATAAAACAAAATTATAAGGAAAAATGACAAATCTAATAATGTCAATTTTTTAACACAACTCCCAATGACTAAAACAGCATACAGGCAAAATTTTTAGTAAGATTATAGATGATATAAACAATGTGATTATGACTTAATCCAATAAACACATAGAATCCACACCCAATAATTAGAGAATGTATATTCCTTTCAAGTACAATCCCTCTAGAATAAAACATTACAGGTAATTAAAATTCAACCATATATGGAAGTTCTACTAAAGCTATTTGGCCAATAAATTATTATTGAATCTTAATTAAAGGAGAACAGGAGAAAACTATAGTAACATGTATCAACTTGTGTTGACCCCACGGATATTTAAATTATATTTAATAAAATAGTATTTAGTAACTTTTCTTGAATATATCTCTATTTTCATTATTATTTCTAATATAGTGATAGTTTCTAATAATAAATTGCATTATTGGATTGCTCTCTATGAATAGAATTCTCACCATGTAAATACAGATTGCTGCTTAGGAGGGGTTCAAAATCCTACTTAACTAAGTATAAAAGAAGATTGAAATTTTAAGTATTAAATTTTCCAAGAAAATATATACATAACTTAAGATTTAAGAATTATTTTATTTTGAATTGCAATCCAAATGGGTATAACCATAAAGGTATTTCTCCTTCCAATACATTGTCACCCAGTCCTGCTGCCCAAAGGCAGCCATTGTTACAAATTTCCTATGTGTTTCTCTAAGATACTTTACACATAGACAAACATGCATCAGGAAGAACTTTTTTTAAAAAGGAATGGTATTTCAAAATGTCTTAACACACTCAATGCTTTTCTACTTGAGGCCAAATCTGTAGTGCAGAATTTTCAGACTTGGCGTCAGACACAATATAAGTAAAACCCAATTACAAGATCAAGATGAGAGAGATGTGATATTGTTCATTAAACTTTTTATAGAAAAATCAGGAGAAAACTGTCCGTGCAATAAGTTCTAAGACTTGAATATGGTACCAGTTAGACATACAAATTAAGTGACATCTATAACTAGCGTGTGTATCATGTAAAGATATCAAAGATATTAGGTAATTAGTTTGTCCACAATAGAATGGAATCTTAAAAAGAACTGATTATACAAAACTATTGCTTTCTTAATCAACCTAAAACTTAGCCAGATCTGAGACACTGCAAGAGGCTGTCCAATTCATCTGTTTTTGCCACCTTTGCTAAAATGTTATTCATAATACAAAAGTCTCAATAAAGAATATGTAATGTCCAAGAGTATAGTTTATATCACCTTGTTACTTTTAACCCAACATATTTGGTATTTCCCATAGAGAGAAACACATCAATTTTTCTTTCTTTTTTTCTTTCTTTTTTTCTAAATCTGTATTTGGAATCAATTTATAAGAAAACTGTCACCTTTGTCTTTAGGCTCTTCTAACATACAGGAGTGACCCAACCATGAGAAAAATGATGAATCACCTGTATTTTTATATCATGCCTGTGTTTAATGTTGATGGATACCATTTCAGCTGGACCAATGTAAGTCACTTTGCCTATCCAATCAAAAGAGACGGAGTAATTCATAGAAAACTGTCACCAAACAGGAAGGAAGCTGTGGGTAGCCAGCTTCGTGATCCCGAGCAACAAGAGAGACCTCACTCCTTCCCCCATCATAGCAACAACCTTTTGATTTTGTTTGTATGTTTAGCTTTGCATAAGATTTCATGTAAATATCCCTAGCCAGTTTGACTCAGTGGATAGAGCATCTGGCCCTTGGACTGATGGGTCCTAGTTCCATTCAGGGAACTAGGTGGGAGGCAACCAATTGATGTGTCTCTCTCACATTGATGTTTCTCTCTCTCTGTTTCTTCCACTCTCTGTAAAAATCAACAGAAAAATATCATTGGGTGAGGATTAACAATAACAACAGCAAAAAAGATTTCATGTAAATAAAGATTTCTCCTTTTAAATAAATTGTGAAAAATCACTAGTTTAGTCCAGCTTATTCAATTTGCCTGTAAAGAAATGAGGCCAAGCTAAGGTAAGAGACAGCAGGGTTGTGGCAGATAATAGAGCATAAACCTGAGTGTCCAGTCCTCTTCCCACTCGCTGAATTTATTCTGTTCCAGGAGGAACTCTCCCCTAATGCTGGGATTCATTCACTGTTGTGCTACTAAAATGCATGTGAGTAACCCTGTAAGTATTTTTTTCCTGCAACTATGTTCTTAATTACATTCTAGGATCGATTTTGGAGGAAAACAAGGTCAAGGAACTCAAGGTTTCGCTGCCGTGGAGTGGATGCCAATCGTAACTGGAAAGTGAAATGGTGTGGTAAGTGGGGGACTAATTGAGATTCAGGTCCAAAGGTTCCCACAGCTTTTCCACTCAGAAGTGGTGAACCTGTTAGGACTCTCATGTAAGACTGATGTTTTTCTGTATGTGAAAACCTAATATGTACATTGTAGCTATAATGTACATATTAATGTACATAATTTACAAAACAAAATAAAGGGGTTTTAAAATATGTAAACATCAAGGATTTAGATCTGTCAACCCAATCCTGAAAACTAAAAATTTAAAAACAGATGTAAAAGCAGAAAACTGAGGAATGAAGTCTTTGTCATTCAGAAACTAAAACAGGAAGTATGGTTTGTGGTATAAATCTGGTTAAATGTTTTCATCCTTTTGAAGCATCCATCTTATATAAAAACTGCTGTTTGAAATTTTAACCCTGCTATTTCTGGCTTCTGTAAATGCTTGCTGGCTTAAATAATAAGGAAAATAAGACTACTCCCATTTCAGAGAGGCCATTAAACCTTCCCCAGACGAAGTTATCAGTGCTGGCACCAGGCCAAGCCTTTGGTTGAGGTCTCAAAGTCCCAGCACACAGGGCCCTTTAAGAACTTGCAAAGGGAACAGGAAAAACCCCATATTTGGGAGACAAAGAAGGTAAAATCGTATAAACATGAGAAACTCCGTGTGTGATTTCACCCAGAATTTGAGATACATTTCCTCTGGGCCCGCGCGTAATAAATGTAACTCCATCTCTCTAAGCATTGCTTGGTTCTTCTCCGGTATTTCTGTAACACTTTCACTGAGCGTAACAAGGATCCTGCCATCATCTGTCAAGATGATCAAAGCTGCCAGATCCTTGACGAGAATCCACCAATCTGCCAGTTATGCACTGATTGGCCACACACATAGCAAGTACATTTTTGCTACAGTCCATATTTCATGGATATGGACCTTTCAAGTAAGAGAGGGTATTATTATAAGGAAGGAAACTTGCAAAATAAAAAAAAGCAGGTAGTGTACAAGAGACAGAGAGGGAGGGAGAGAATTAGCCATAGCTAGTGTAGAGGAGGCAAAACTTTATCTTTACCCATCTTGAGAATTTAGCTGGGACTCAAACAAAAAGACAGTTTAACAAGGGAAAAACAATTTATCAGCATGTACAATGCATGTCACATGGGGAAAACGTCATGGAAAGTTACTCAAAGTGGCAACTTAGAACTCTGGCTTATCCTGCATCTCCAACAAAGAGCAATAAATCTGAGGAGAAATGGCAGGTCAGAGGAGAGCAGTTTTAGGCTCCCAAGGGCAGCCAACTGTGGGAAGGCGACTACATGGGAGAAAAATCATGGAGTAAAGCTTGTTTCAGATTCCTCTGGTCCCTCTCTGGGCTAATCAGAGTCCTGTCTCCAAGAAAAGACGAATTTACATCCTGTCTTTAGGTAGAAAAGGGGGAGAAGGTAAAGAGAGCTTTTCCTGTATTTGCTGCTGCTTCATTGCCTTCAGCTCAAAATAATTTTTATGTCAAAGAGCATATTTGGGGGTGACATATTTTAGTTTCCTTCACTAGTGTCATATTTGGCAACAGGAAGGAGAGGAAGGAAAAGTATCATCTAAGTGCAGTTGTAAGGAGCTGCCCTTTGGCAGAGTCCTACCTTAGCTCCCCAAAACATAGACCCTGTGTGATAGAGAGTCTTTGTTAGTCCCTTAGGAATGAGGCCTGTCATAACTCACTCATTCTGTGACACTTTGGGTTCTGTGTTAGATGCTACTCCTCCGGTCCCCACCAGCCTCAGACAGAGTAACTGGGCATGGGCTTAGACTCCGCCCACATCTCCCTCCAGGGCACCTCCCTTCATCAGTTAGAAATGGCAAATAAGAATATCAGAGAACAGAAAGAATATAGCTCTAGAATATGACAGATATGGTTTCATTCTACCATCATTGCTCAAATAATTTAGGTAATTTTCCTTAATAACAATACTAATACCCATCCCAAAGGGTTCTTATAGGAATGAAAGGAATTTACATATGTTTAATGCCTAATTCAGTCCTAGCTTCAAACAGGAATCTACATGTCAGGGACCCACTCCTTTCCCCAACCCTCCAAAATAGTCAGTTCACAACTGAGCCTCAGGTCAATTGTATAAGAAACTGTCTTTTCCTTTAGGAGAGTGTTGTGATGATGAGCCATAAGGCAAGCTTAAAGTGTTTGCACGCATGGGGGAAGAAAAAGCATTGCATAAGTACTAGAACAGCCGTGGGCAAACTACGGCCCACGGGCTGGATCCGACCCATTTGAAATGAATAAAACTAAAAAAAAAAAAGACCGTACCCTTTTATGTAATGATGTTTACTTTGAATTTATATTAGTTCACACAAACACTCCATCCATGCTTTTGTTCCGGCCCTCCGGTCCAGTTTAAGAACCCATTGTGGCCCTCGAGTCAAAAAGTTTGCCCACCCCTGTACTAGAAAGTGCTGTTATCGATGATGGTTTAGAGTTAAAATGTTTTTCTTCAACTTGGAACTGAGACGACAAGCTTGTTCACATTAACTCCCTAAGACCACTAATTTTTTTAAATTCTATGTTCCCCTTCTCTGATGGGACCACTGTGCATGCTCATTAGGTATGTGCTCTGTTTCACTAGTTGGCAGCTACCCACACCCATGTGTTATCCACATGATGCCCACAACCATCGGGGTGAGCGCCCTGAATGGGTAACTGAGCTGAGTAACCCTAGCAGGCCAGCCGGCTCTGCCTGGGTAAGGTTAGACTCCTGTTTATATCCAGTTACAAATAACTTTCTTGCTTCCCTTGGTTCTTCTTTCCTTACCCAGCTTGTTTCCTTTATACATATGATGCCTTCTTTGATTTCTTCGTTTCAACCGCTGTCCCAACTAGAATTCCTTTGATTCTTCCCATTTTTGAATCATTCTGATTCTTTCTATCAGTCAACAGGCAAGATGTTGACAAAGGATGATGGCAAATGTCAGTTGCAAAATGACCTTGATAGGCCATTGTAAGGGATGTGGAAATGCAGACAGCCTGGCTGGGACCATCTCTCCTTCCAAACATCTCCCGAGTAGATTCAGCTGATTTGACAGGCAAGCAGATGTGGCCTTCCTCCCTCACAGAGTCAGACTCATCTCCCCACAGCTATTTGCTGGGTCATGGGCATTGAAATAAATGAAATTCCTCCGTGACCCTCCAAATGAGCATAGTGTAAATGATAGGAAATGCAAGGCCCATGGAAAACACTACAGCATCAACATTGAACTGCCAAAACAACTGCTTCTTTCTTTAGAGTCAGTGAGTCTCAGACATCAAGAGTAGAACACAAAACTGCTTTTTTGCCATGAAAACTCCATCCCAAGAGAAGTGTTACGCATTAGGGCATTAAGTAGAATAGACAGCATACACATGGAAACAAGTATGTCTTTCCAATACGTCATCGCTCCCCCCAGAGGCCTTCAGGTCATGAAATGAATATCATTGCACTGAAAGTCCAGCAGAGGGACTCAACAAGTCAGAATAGCGGTGGGAACCAAGAATAAATATATCCATTTTATACATTTATTTGCCAAAGTTAATTGAGCACATACCCTCTACTAGGCACTGTGGGGTTTTTCTCCCATCTTTCTATGCACGCTTTTTAAATAACTGAGCACTACTTTTTCCAAATTCAAATAAATCCAGGCGAGAAGTAAAAGGCTTGGATGATATCCATACTTTAGCTTTAATCCCTAAATAAATCAAGTGTTGCCTAAATATAAATTACTATTAGGACAACCTACAGAATGAAAGAACGTGTTTGAAAATCAGACATCTGATAAGGGACTTGTATTTATTCCAAATATTAAAAGAGCTCTCACAACTCAACAATAAAAAAGACATATAACCCAATGTTAAATGTTCAAATGATTTGAACAGACATTTCTCCAAAGAAGATATATACAAATGGGAGTAAATACAAAAAGATGCTCAACATCATTAGCCATCAGGGAAATTCACATCATGGTACCACTTCACACTTACTAAGATGGCTATAATAAAAAAGAAAGACAATAGCAAGTGTTGGTGAGGGTGTGGAAAAATTGGAACACTCCCACTTGTTGGTGGGAATGTAAAATGATGCAATCACTTACTTGGAAAACTGTTTTATAGTTCCTTAAAAATTTAAATACAGAGTTACCATATGGCCTAGCAATTCCACTCCCAGGTATATACCCAAGAGAAATAAAGATATTTGTCCATATGTTAACCTGCACATAAACATTTACAACAGCATTGTTTATACCAGCCAAAAAGTGGAAACAACCCAAATACCTATCAACTGATGAATAAACAAAATATGGTATATCCATACAATGGAATATTACTTGGCCATAAAAAAACAATAAGTATTGATACATGGATGAACCTTGAAACATAATATTATATGATTACATTTATATGAAATGTCCAAAATAGGCAAATCCATAAAGATAGAGAATAGTAGATTAGTGGTTACCAAAGGCTAGAAAGAGGGTGAAATGAGTATTGGCTGCCAATAGGTAAGGGGTTTCTTTGGGGGATGATAGAAATACAGGAGTGAGCAAAAGTAGGTTAATAATAAATAAATAAATAAATAAATAAATAAATAAATAAAACAAGAATGAACTGTGTTTTTAATTTTGCTCATACTTGTATTTTGGAACTAGATAGTTGGTGATGATTGAGAATATGCTAAAATCCTTTGACTTGTACACTTCAAAAGAGCGAACTTTATGGTATGTGAATTATAGCTTAATAAAGATGCTCTAAAATTTTTAATTGCCATTTAGGAGCTAGTTAGGCACTTAATGAAATATAACTACTCTTTGTAGAACACTCAATGACCTAATGTTGTAAATTAGGTATAAAATGGAGAAAAACCATATTTTTTTGCAGCCCAATTACTATGTCTCTCTCCACACATGCCCTTCTCCTATCAAAACCCCCTCACTCTATCAAAAAAAGGGGGGGCTGTTTGGATGGGCAAATATTTTGATAGATC